GAAAAAAAGAACAGGGGATAGAAAAACACTAACAAGACTAAAAGAGTACCACATAAAATTGCAATTTATAACTGAGCCAGTAGCAGGAGTGACAGGGAACAAACTCATTAGCAATGAAGAGCGGGAGTTTGATCTTGACTGTATGGAAGAAGGCGATTTTCACGGATCACTGGGATGTTAATGACTGGTTGAATACTGATGAGAAGGACTACGGATAAGAAGAAGAAACGGCACAAGAAGCTGAAGAGGACAAGGAAGATGAGAGAAGAAACTTCTAGGAAGTTCAAATTTTCAGAATTAAAAAAAATTTGGACTCCATCATCAGTTCTGTAGGTTCTAACTAATCTAATACTGAGCGATGTGAGGAAACTGGGAATGAAGGAACAGCACAAAAGAGGAACACGAACCAAAATAAGTTCAATTTGATTTGTTTCATTTTGGTCTGTCACACTAACAGTTACAATTATAAAGGACAAGTCCGTCCAATGTGACTATTTCAGTTTTCACTTGATGATTCACTAGCCCTACATGTTTCGATCCATTTGGATCATGTTCAGAGGCACCAAACACTTTTTTGAAACCACTATCACAACAGTTGTTTAAAAACTTTAAAACAACTTTAAACATTTCTTTAAACAGAAAGGCTGCTGTGACTGATAGATGGAACATTGCGTACTTGGACATTACATGTGTATTTGATTGACAACTGTCGTGATAGTGGTTTCAAAAAAGTGTTTGGTGCCTCTGAAGATGATCCAAATGGATCGAAACATGTAAGGCTAGTGAATCATCAAGTGAAAACTGAAATAGTCACATTCGACGGACTTGTCCTTAATAACTGCAAAATAAGTTCAGTTTTCAAACACTGTCTCAGTAATACTAAGAATATCGGTTACCTGAAATTTTTTTAAAACTGATATCAAAAGCTACAATTTTACATTTTATGACATGCAATCTAAGTTTTAAAATAAAATCATATTTCACTAAAAGACATATGAAGTCCATTTATAACTCCCCTTAGTGTAATATAACGTGGATGGTCAGAGCGTTGTTAGGTAACGGTAAACACAAGCGATACACGCACACAACAATGAAACAACGAGGTTATGTATCCCGTTTCTACGCAACGGCTCGGTAAATATATTTCCGCGCAGGTGTAATGACGTCACACTCCAACAGTACTAGTTATCACGTGACTTGATTTGGACAAAGGTTCCCTCACAATTATTCCTAATTACTGAAGTCCTACGTATACTGTAATTTATCTTTACATTTATATTTATGAATTTGTTCATATGGCATTTCTTCAAACACTCTTCCAAACAAGGACTCGATTTATGTAAATATGGATATGGGCTTCTATAGCGTAATTTTAAAGGTCACGTAATGATGTGTATGTGATCCTAAATAAATTGTAACGAGGATAAAGCTTATGGGTTTTATGGTTTCTTTAACGATACTGTCAAAATCTAGACTATATGCCGTCGAATGGTAAGATGATTAATAACACATTGGTAAGGATTTGGAAGGAAGTGGTCGTGGCATAATTCAGGAAATATTCCGATATTCGCCTGGAGGGAATGAGAAAACCCACAAAAATTCTGTCAGGATAGCCCGTATCCTCGCCGAGATCCGAACCTTTGATTTCCCGAATGCAAATCTAGAGTGTTACAGCTACACAAAACGGCTCGATCCGAAGTAGACAGCATTTAATACGCGAGGAGACCTGAGAAAATAGAAAACACTGGTAAGTTGGAACTGAAGTTCGAACTTATTCGCGGACATAAAAATTTCAGCAAATGTCCCTGTTTGCCCTGTCTTCCCTTATCTGACGCTGTTATGTGTTCTCCTCTGACACTAGTTACGTCACCACAACCGAAAGATTGACTTCGTCCTAAAGTCATTCTCTATGGTTCAAGAAGGGAGGTCATGAAGTCTACATTAAAAGTATTTTTTACCATTGTAAATTTGCGATAAAATAGCTTATCTGAAGTATAACCAGTTATAGAGTTATCTGGTGTAGACACATATGTTTGGAACGCTCTCAGCACCACAAACAAGCATAAGAAGTGACCCGAATTGCTAAAAATATAAACCTCGTAATCAGTACAAAATAGCTCAGTAATAAGTTGTTGCATTTCTGTCACGTCTTTGAAAAAAGTTCTTAGTATTCTTAGCGATGAAATTACTTATCCAGATATTGCATATATACAGGTACTTACGGTATTAAAATTGTAACGTACTAACGCATATTATTTTTGTTATGTATTTAGACTTTATAATAAATTGTTAGAGAACACACAGGGAGAATATAAATGATTTTAGTGATAATATATTAGTATATTTTCGAAAGGGTTGCATGTAGAAATATAAAACAACATGAAAACAGCATGAAACTCTTATGTAGGCCGCACACCGTCATGCGTCAAGACATGTAACAGTCAAGACACGATGTCTGCGACATGACGCAAACAAAGGATCACAGTTGAAACAAACGCAGCTGGTGCGCAGCCACCCTTAGTGTATATGTATCTAGGTATGTTCAATGCGTCACAGCTTACTCTGCAAAGGTCAACGCGACATTAAAATTCTTCCCATGTACGCTGCAATTGTGACACATCAACGTTGGCAATGACCCGTGAAATTCGTTGTCGAAGATCTCGAAGGGATATGGGATCAGAGGTTGGTATACCTGGTCCTTCACATATCTCCATAGGTTGAAGTCGCATGAAGTAAAATCCAGGGATCGAGAGGGATCAATGAATGGGTATACTCGCCTTATCGCAAGCAACACTGTACCTTTTGTACGCCATTTCCATTTGACAGTGATCGGAGCGCCGCTCGCGGAAGATACGTTAAAATCGACGTTGTCGGCGCGAATTTAACGAGTTTCTTCGTTGTTCGCAAGTTCCCACATATTTGTATCTATTGCCGCTTTGAAAATACACTAATTTCTTGTCACCTAAATTACTTAAAAAGTTCTGTGTTAAAATAATAAGGCAGTATGAAAGCATTTAAAAAGTTCTCTCAAAACTGTGATAAGCTGCAACTGTTCCTCGCTGCAAACACCATCCTTAGACTATGCAAAGCTAAGTTGAATGCAGTATCCCAGTGCGTGTGCTTGTTTTTGAGAGAAAGAGAGAGACAGACGAAGAGATTTGTAAGGACTAAGTTAAGTTCAATGCCAGTGTGAAGCTTCATGTTGCATACTCAGGCCTATATTGTTGGAACGTGTTTGCCAACCGATTGCATATCAACGGTCGCGGCACGAACTCCAGAGAAAACGCCGCTTTCCCATTGTTGCCTTGCGTGTATTCCGTCGCGAGGTGTTTGGCCCTCTGTTACCTAGCAGCGCTGTGTCCATCCACATTAGACTATCAATAAATCTGAGGTTGGGTCCGGGAGACAGCCGTTATGTAGAAAAATATTAAATATACTTCATTAATCAAACCTTCCTCTTACCCTCTGGTCCCTGTATAATTTTTATCCCAACTCACTGCTCACTCTGCCTAGACACCTCTTTCGTGCTCGGCTGATTTTCGATCCTAAAGCTGTAGGTGATACTTTCTTCCGAAACGTCGGCTCATATACGGACTATACGGCGTTATATCCCAGATGATAGTAAATTTCATAACCTCAAATCCTACATACTTTATCAAGCATTCATTTTTTTTAATGAATACTATTAAGCGTAATTGTTATTGTTCGTTTAAACCCAACATACAATTAATCCACTTAAAGCTTGGCGCAACTGAGTGTTCTTGAAATGCTGGTATACAACACCGACTACTTTTGTCTTCTGTGATATAACAGCGGAAGTCAGGTGATATTTCAGAGTAAATATATCACCTCTTCTTCAGAGACGAAAAATCTAATTAAATTATGTTTTGGTTTAGAAAATCCCACTCTTTGAAACGCGTTGATCCATTTGCCCCCTTTCGAAACCCAGCTTTGAGGACAACATGGAAAATAATACAAATATTTCAACTGACTCCATGAAGCGGAGTCCTTGAAGAGACATCAGCCGCTCAACTCTTCAAGCGTTTACCAAAAGTTTATAGAACCCAAAGATTCTCTACCGTGTTCACAAGAGCCTTACACTGGTCCCTATCCTGAGTCAGATCAATCCAGCCCATACCACCCCACCCAATATCTGTAAAATATATTTTTTTTAATATTCTTCTCCCACCTACGTTTTGGTCTTCGTAGTGGTCTCTTTCCTTCTGGCTCTCCCACAAATACCCTATTTGCAATCCTCTTCTCCCCCGTTCGTGCTACTGACATTTCTCTTTGTTTTCATCAGTTCATTCATTCATCAATGGCTCTGCAGCCTTTTGTTCGGCCCTGGTCTCTTCTTCAGTTTCGTAATCTTTTTTTAAACAGACGGTAGGACTCATGCCGTAGACCGCGCGGCCACTGTGATCGACTTGTTTCCCTCAGTATCTCCAAGAATATATTTGTGTAGTAACTCGAATAGGTCACGACAACTCTATTCAAAATTCTTTCCCCTTCATAATGTATCTGCCATCGCACTGTTCGACGCTACAGCTACTTAGCTACAGACAGCGTCGTTAAAAATATATAGGATTTGGAAGGAAGCCTTCGTGACCTAATAACGCACTCTTCAGGGACTGAGGAATATCACGGATAGCCTGTGTTCCAGCCGAGATTCGAACGGAAATATCTCCTGAATAAAATTAGATACGGTGCATTAACGCGTGTCAACTTGATAGGTGCAGCCAATGCAACACAGCTACTGCTCTCCGCATTCCAAGCCATTCAACTGCTCTGAAGATGGAGGCGCTACGTTCCTCCGAAACGTCGGCCAAAACGAAGAATACACGGTACCTAAACCCAGAAGACGACTTTCTTCATTGTCATCGCCGTGAAAACCTCAAAACTTACAATGGAATTACAAGTTTATCTTTTCGTAACGGCAAAGGAAATGGGCCAATGCTGGACAGTGTGTGACGTAACAAAGGTTACTTCGCCACTCCCTGATGGGAGCTAGGATATACGTGCGTGACTCTGGGCCGAATACTCGAGGACCAGTGCGTGCGAAGCCTGCACCCGGACAGCAGTTGATGTAGGTGAGGGATGCATGTATTCTAACTGTAAACTCACAACTGAGTGCTCCAAAGGAAATATAATGACTGCCTTGCATCCGTGTTGTGCTATCGCCTTACCGTCTTATATTCACGGTATTCCTGTGCAGTTGCTAGGGCCAGTAATTTTGTGAATCACAGTGTTATCACTATAGACTAAGACGTTTCGATAATTACTGGATCACCAACAGGTTACGTCTGTTGTTCAGTTAAGTGAGCTGGTGTACTACAAGCTGCTGAGTCATTCAATTCTTACTAAAAATAAAAAGTTATGTAATTTTTAATTGGTTTAAATTGAAGTGTTGGTGTTGGTGGTCGTGGTAATGGTGATCGTAATATTACTGAGAGTGTTGGTGGAAGATTTCTACAGTTCTACAATTCTAGTTCAGTGTTCAAGGAGTTCACTATTGTTATTATTATTCTTCAATTCTTCAAACGCAAGTTAGTCCGTGTGTACTGTGCAACTGCAATAAATACTACAGGACAGTTCAACTAGTGGTTGTCTCTTCATATGACATCTCACAGTGTCATTTGTAGAGGTGGCGGTGTTGGTGGTGGTGGTTTTATTACTGACAGTGTAGGTGGAAGCTGCGGCAATGGTGGTGGTGTTATTACTGAGACTGTTGGTGGTAGCTGCGGTGATGGTAGTGGTGATGGTGGTGGTGGTTTTGGTAGTGATGGTGATAGTTGTGGTGGTGGTGGTATTTGTAGAGGTGGTGGGCGTGGTGGTGTTGCTAGTGCTAGTGGTGGTAGTGGTGGTGGTATTTGTAGAGGTGGTGGTGTTGGTGGTGGTATTCGTAGAGTTGGTGGTGGTGTTGCTAGTGCTGGTGGTTTTGGTAGTGGTGCTGGTAGTTGTGGTGAAGGTGTTATTTGTAGAGGTGGTGGTGGTGGTGGTGGTGGTGGTGGTGGTGTTGCTAGTGCAGTGGTGGTGGTGATGGTATCAGTAGCAGCATTAGCAGTAGCAGCAGCAGCATTAGCAGTAGCAGCAGCAGCATTAGCATTAGCAGTAGCAACAGTAGCAGTAGCAGCAGTAGCAATAGTAGTAGCAGTAGCAGCAGTAGCAGTAGCAACATTACCAGTAGTAGCAGTAGCAGTAGCAACATTGCCAGTAGTAGCAGTAGCAGTAGCAACAGTAGTAGTGGCGGTAGTGTGCGAGTATTTCGAAGCTGTGTAGCGTCCGTAGGCAGCAGGATAAGTGAATGATGAAATAAGAAGGAATCAGCAGTAAGGTAATCGAGGTGTTATTTCGGCACGTGCCTGGAGATCCTGTGGAAAAACACGGAAACGCCCATTCAGGATTGATCGTGTCCTGTCCTAGATTCGAGCCTGACACCTCCAGAATACCAGTCAGGGGCCTTACCGCCGTCCTAAGCCCGTCCTGTAACACGGTCTCGCAACCTAGACGAGTGCGGTGTTTAAATTCACGCCGTGAAAAACACAATTAATTGACTCACATGCTAATTCCGTGGAGCTGAGCCTTGAAAAGCCGCTAGTTGCGCAGTTACTCGAGAATTTCCGAATATTTTACGGAATTCAGAGTTTTACTATCGTGTTCACAAGTGCCCTCCACTGGTCCCTATTACCTTGCATACTAAAATTCAACATAAAATGCTTTCGTGTCTGTAACTTTCTGCTTTGTTTTTCCTGTGGTATGGCTGCTACAGAGTTTTTCTAACTTTGTAGACCGGTTCAGGGCGACCAGTGCGCTGCTTGTCGCAAGGCGCATACGAATTGTGCTGATGAATCAGCATACCTGATGGCCGATAACGTTTGAAATTCAGGGAAGTTATGTATTAACTTCGTGGACCGATTAAGGGCACAATGTTTGACGGCAAGGAATGCGATTCATTCATGGTAATTTGTTTTTTATCTGTCAGCAGTAGGCGGCAGTTATCAGCTCCATTAACAGTTTGTTCTCACTTAAAATTAACGAACAGCGTGGTAGGTTATGTTGCCGACCACGGTGGCCGAGCAGTCTAAGGCATGAACTGTTTTTCCTATCTCGAACATTGGGATCGTAGTTCAAATTCCACTCAAAGGCATGGATGTTTGTGTGTGCGTTTATTCTCTTTGTCTTGTCCTATGTAGGCAGCGGCCTTGCGACGGGCTGATCACTCGTCCAAGGAATCCTACCGTCTGCGTAAAAAAGATCACGAAACTGAAGAAGAGGCCACGTCCCAGCAAAGGGCTGTAGAGCCATTGATGCCGGAAAAAATGAAATGAATATGATACGTCATAGTGCGGTATAACTTCGGGTGCTTTAGAGTAACGTGTATTTCTGTGTAACACCTACGTGAAATACGGATCTACTAGAAAATGCAGGCAAAAATTTCGAGATGAAAGAGTTCTCAGTAGACATACAATTCCCACTTTGGCAAATAAATTTAGATAAACGTGACTCTCAACAAACAAGAACAAAAACATAAGCGCTGACTGTTTACTGAGGAAAAGTTAGAGCACATAGAGGCCAGACTTTAACATAAGTCACTGAAACGTTTAGCTCAAGAGACTGGAGTGTGAAAAGTACAAGGACGACAACACATTTGCTGAAGTTCAGACCCTATAAAAAGGCAGTAATCCAAGTACGCCTTGCATTCGCGCAATCCGACTAGCAGTGTACATTTCTGCGTTTATTTCTGCAGTCTGTCGCCGAAGGTGAGATCAATCCACAACTTACGTTCTTTTCTGATGAAGCGTGGTTTCATTTGCAGGGATACAAAACTACCCAATATAATCGTTACCGGAATTAATAGAATTCGCATCTAACCCACTAAGACCAGCTCCAGCCAGTGAAAGTTTGTGTGTGGTGTGCTGTAGTGCAAGGATTGTTATACCTGTGCTTTACAACGAAACAATTAATTGCGAAATGTATCTATGTGTAGAGGGACAGCATTATCAACACACCCTGTAATTTGTGAATTATTAACTACTCCATTCCGAACATTATCGGCTGTTAAGCGTGCTGATTCATCTGAAAAATTCGTATGCGCCTTGCGGCAAGCGGCGCACCGGTGGCCGTGAAGCTCAGAGTCATGGAACCGCTCAACAGGTAAGAACAGAAATGTGTTACTTTACTGTGCAAAACGCCATATATCTCCACAACTGCTCTAATGTCTAACAGCATTTGAATGTCTCAAACGAAAAGCAGATGGTGCCATAGAGGCAAATAACCGCATATCGCAGCTTTTCGACTGAACAACATGAGTAACGATAAGTAGATTTTATTCGATAGAAGTAAATGAAAACGTGGGTGATGTTTATTCTGTGTTTGTGTTGTCCTGTGTTTATTTAGAGGCCTTGCGGCGAGCTGATCACACGTCCAAGGAGTCCTACAGTCTCTAAAATGATCATGAAACTGAAAAATCAGAGGCCGAGGCCCAAGGGGGCAGTAGTAAGAGTAAAGTAAAGGTGTCCCTGTAACAGGCTGTGGAGTCCCATAGGGTTGTGAGATGTTGAGGCTCCCACATTTGCTAGATAATCGGCTCACAGGTGGCGGTGAGGCCTTACGCGCCGGCCGCTCTTTACCCCCAGGAATATTCCTGATACTCATTTCTGTTAGAGGCTGAGGCGACACCAGAGCCATAGTGGAGCTGGGAGGATTAGGTAAATTGAAAAAAATCCACCTTATCGGGATTCGATCCCGCGACCTTTCGACTTTTAGTATAGTGCCTCAACAAACTACGCTACCATGTGCCCCCTAATGGGGTTGTAGATCCAGTAAAAATTAAATAAAAGTCATCACAGGCGATATTTATGGTATCAACAATTACTAGCTTTAACTACCCACTCTTGGTCTATCTTGGCGGCCTGTTCTCATTCAGAATTAATTGTAAAATTGTGAATTTTAGAGACAGTATTTGAACTGATGTCAGTCCGTCGCAAGTTCGCTATCTACATAAGACAACACAAACATAGTATAAAAGTAGACAGACGTCGATGTTTCGAATGATATTTGAACACATGATCCACTTGTCTGAGAGGTGGAAGACATTTCGTGCCGTGGAAGGCGCGGCCACAGTGATCGGCTAATTCCGCTAGAACATGCACGTAGCAAATAATTAAGGTGGTATTTCGCTAACACTAATATCTGGGCAAAATCTCTCTATTTTTACAGAACCCTGTAAGGTAATATGGACGGAAGTTGTGCCATCGGTTCCCACTGGACATCAGCTTCCAGCTGTCCAACAACGGCAGGAGTGTCCGATGTTGGGGCTCTCCTCTTCACCAGTCTCCTCACCACACTCATCGACTCTCAGAAACAGCTGGGAAATCCGGATGAGTACCCAGAAGATGCTAGTTCCTACCTCCTGGACGAGTACGATTTCATCGTGGTAGGAGCCGGTTCAGCGGGGTCCGTGGTGGCCAGTCGACTAAGCGAGGTACCAGAGTGGAAAGTTCTTCTTCTAGAAGCAGGTGGTGACCCGCCACTATCCTCTGACATTCCAAAACTATTCTTTGCCCTCCAAAGGACTGATATCGACTGGAAATACATGACAGAACCCAAGAAAGGAATGTGTGAAGGTTTACAGAACGGACAGTGCAGCTGGCCCCGAGGCAAAGTCTTGGGTGGAACGAGCACAATAAACGCAATGCTTTATGTTCGTGGAATGCAAAAGGATTATGATAAATGGGCTGAAAATGGAAACTATGGTTGGAGTTACAAGGAGATTCTGGATTACTTTAAGAAATCCGAAGATGCAAAGTGGATGAAATCAGATGATCTTTCACATCATGCAAAAGGCGGACCGCTGACAATTGAGCAGTTCGAGGTCAGTGACATTGGTGAAAGGATTTTGGAAGCTGCCATGGAACTGGGTTATCCAGTACTAGATGATATAAACGCGGAAAATCGGTTGGGTTTCACAGCAGTTCAAGGAACCTTGCGAAATGGAACTCGGTGTAACACGGCCAAAGCTTTTTTGAGTCCAGCCAAAGATCGGAAAAATCTTCATGTTTCAAAACATTCACATGTTACCAGAATACTAATAGATCCGGGGAGTAACGAGGCCCACAGTGTCGAATTCAGAACCCAGACAGGAGAAGTTCGAGTAGTGAAATTTAAGAAAGAAGTCGTTGTATCGGCAGGGGCAATAAACACACCACAAATATTAATGCTGTCTGGTATAGGACCTCTTGAACATTTAAATGACATTGGTATCAAGCCAGTAATTAAGGATCTCAAGGTTGGCGAGAACCTTCAAGATCATATACTTTTTCCTGGTTCTATACTCACCAAGAAAAAATCTTCATTGCACCAGATTTCTCCTTCCTTCTATAATGATGCGTTTTATGAGTACTTGACGCGCAGAACTGGTGTCTTGTCGACTCATTACGGCACGTCGGCAACTGGATTCATTAAAACAAAATGTTCTGAAGACGACAGACCGGATATTCAGATGCATTTCTTAGCTTTTCTTGCTCAGGACAACCAAAGTATAATGGTCTTGGCAAATGGTGTAGGTTTCACAGAAGAGACGACACTTTCAATATTAGAATATCTTAAAGAAAAGGATCTCATGTTTTTAATCCCATCGCTCTTACGACCAAAGAGTGTAGGCAGAATTCTTCTCAGTTCATCAGACCCTTCAGAGCCTCCTAGAATACAAGCTGGGTATCTGTCTGATCCTGAAGGCAAAGATATCGATTCTTTAATTGAAGGTATTAAATTTACTACGGACCTCATCAACACTGAAGCCATGAAAGCTGAAAATGCTACAAGACAGAAGATTTATTTTAAAGACTGCGAACACCTGGAGTTCGATTCGAGGGACTACTGGGAATGTGTTTTGCGACAGACAGCAACAACGCTTTATCACCCTGTTGGCACCTGTAAAATGGGTCCAAGTTCAGATCCTGAAGCTGTTGTAGATCCAGAACTGAAAATTCACGGTGTGAAAGGAATAAGGGTGGCCGATGCGTCCATAATGCCGAGCATTGTAAGCGGGAACACGAACGCACCCTGTATTATGATCGGCGAGAAGGCTGCAGATATGGTGAAGAAAGATTGGCTTTGAAAGAAGTGTTATTGATGGATGTTCAGTTTCTCACAACGCTGACCACAAGTAGGATGTGGGTTGTAATGCCATTAGTTTGGAAACTGTAAGAAGAAGATATTGCCTCCGTTTTCAAGGTCGAGTAGTAAGTAATGCAAAAAGAAGACAGACAGTGTATTTTAGTAATATGTTCCTCCGAAACGCTGGTGGGTTTTCAGAATCACATGGCGTTACAATCCAGAAGATAATACTCTTCATTTGTTCTACTATTCCGACAAGGATATCTCTCTTGTAATGACCTACGCTGTAGAATATTATCTCTTCATGCTCACGAGCCTGTTACTTCAATTATTCTGTTATGTTATTAGCAAAATAATTTTGCTTAGAATGGAAGAAGCACGTGTTCTCAGAATACGATCTGATTTATGCCACTTTTATCCGAGTGTTCAAGTTCTTATGTTAATATTATTTTATTAAGTTGTATATGCCACTTGTACATTCAATCACAGTGACTATTTCTGTTTCTTGTGAAATAGGCACGAATGTACTTAAATCAAATTTCATTTTTTGTTTCGATTTATTACTTTGTTAGATATAATGCAGTTTACACAGACTAAACTTTGATAATCCCCTATTTAGCCTTCTCTCTAATTTAATGCGCGGATGCAGCTGTAACCCAAAATCACACAAAATTCCGTATCCTAATCCAGGAAATTTAAAACACAAAATGTCGTAAAGCTTATATGCCTGAAATCCCATATGCATTTAGAAAGCAGAAGCAACGTAACTCACAATCTATTGGTGTGAAAGTGGAACTGTATTAGATCCTAGAGGATTCTGACGATGATGTATAACATTACGGTTACTGGGTTTTTGGGCTCTGTCCATCGTTCGGTATAAAAAATAGCAGAGCATTTCGGAAAATATCTCATTCCATCAACAGGTGAGGAGTGTCCGACACCTATACTCTTGGGTCCTCCAGAAAGAGCTATCCTCAATCATTGGTGGTTAGCTCTTTCTAACGGACCCAACGGAGAATGTGTCATAACTCTCACCTGAGGACGGAACAAGATCGAGTTTTGGACACGGTGTGTTGTTTAGAATACCGGATGTTGGACATGTTCTTAAACCAAGTAATCCCAAGTAACTGGGTTGAGTTTGTTAAGGATGTTTAAATTCAGTATAACCACTTTCTGAACTACCTGGTGAGGCTCAATAATTCCAGAACTGCAAACAGGTGTGCTAAGAAGTATAAGTCTGTGATGTGTACAGGCTTGCTAGACTTTCCGCCAGGTAGCAGCATGGTTGTTTATGTACAATTCTCTAGTCTCTTGCTATTACAGAGTACATAACTAATAAATAGAAACCATGGACTAATGTTCCCCATCAGAAATTGAAAGTTGCTCAACTAGTGAAGAAATCAGCAGAATTTTATGTACCCGAAGTTTATTATTGTGTTCAGAAGAGCCCGTTATTAATCCCGACCCTGATTAAGATGAATCCAATCCAGAGCCTCGCATCCTGTTTCTTGAAGATCGATTTTAGCCTGCTTTCCTTATTTTGAAACACAGCATGAAGATGACGTAAGCCGACTTTCGGAAAGTATGCTAAAAATAAAAGGAGGCATACGAGATCGCCTTTCTGTCTATCTCCCATCTTCGACTTGATCTCCCAAATGGTGTCTTCCACCAGGCACTGAACAGTAAATGAGGGTAAAGTTATCCCTGTGCTTAATTACTTATCGCCACTACATGAAGACTTGTGTAGAGCGGAAATATAGTTCCGTCAGTATTGACTTCGGCACTAGATGAAAATGAGTGGACAGCTTTGTTCTCCTGCCGCTTTATCCCCAGGGGAACGTCCCATGGTACCCATTGTCCCGGAGTCTGGATGGGCCCCAGAGCCAGACTGGACGCTATGAGAAAAAGAAAAACCTCTTCCCCTTCCATGAATCAAGCCCCATTTCTCCGTCATATTCTCCGAAGGCTAGTGGCCCCGACGGTTCACATCCACACACGCATCTTAAGTTCAACCTTGTGTTGTTATTGCAGGACACGCAACGTCGAGTTTGAATGTTTCTGGTTGGCATGGTGGAATGACGATTGACAGGGGAAACCGAAGTACTCGGAGAAAAACCTGCCCCAGCACCACTTTGTCCACCATAAATCCCACTTGATCAGACCCGGGATCGAACCCAGGCCGCCGCGGTGGGAAGCCAGCGACTAACCTCTTGAGCTATGGAGCGGCCCCTCTGGGTCATCTGTTAGTCCCAATCTGGAAAGGTGGCAGTTTATTTACAAAAAGTAAGCTAACATTCCATTCGTTTGAAAGCAATATTCCTAAGAAGAATATGGTCATTCCTCTATCCCCGTTGTTATTTCATACCGGAAATTTAGCTGCCTTCCATTGCAGTAATGTCAGAAGAAGCACTGCCCCCAGCACTCAAAGAGAATTCTCTCACGTTGCAGAATTTGAGGTTGTTCGAAATTAGTTTCCAATTATTTTATGATGGCTTCTGCCTTGTGCAGGGAGGGAGAGTGGATATGAGCATTGCGGTGAGCTGAGGTGCGCTGACTGTAACAGAGGCAGTGAATGCACAGCTATAAATTTAGTGGAGCCGACCACAGTGGCCGCGCGGTCTAAAGCATGAACTGTCTTCGCCCTCCCAAACACTATGATCGTGGGTTCGAATCCGACATTCAAGGCATGGATGACTGCGTGCATTAATTCTGTGTGCAGATGGCGACAATACATCAAGCCGGTCTCTTGTCCAAGGCGTCCTACCGACTGTGTAAAAGATCAAGAAACTGAAAAAGCAGCTAAGGTCCATCAGGGCTGTACAGTCACAGATGAGTAAATGAATATATTTATTGGAATATATTAACTGTTAATTAATATGATAATTAGAGATGCACTATCGATCAGGATTCTTTAGCGTTACACCAGCATACTTGTTACTGCCCACATATCTGCAGACGTGTTTTGTTTCTCGTATTTTTACATTGCAGTTTACTTTATAATCATCATATAAACCTGCCATGTTTTATGATCTTTAGTATTACTGCGCTAAACTCTCCACACGCGTCCTCTCTCAGGAAACGGACACACCACCCTCACCACATCTGTCAGAGTGGACTACACCAATGAAATTCAACGGCGTCCGTAAAGCAGTGAGACTCCATCGCTTAAATGTTGTTATTGCCTAGCAATATCTGCAAAAATCGACAAGCCAGACAGTACACTTGCTTTACACACGTGGACAAGAGGAACAGCATGGCACCGTTATATCTGCCATTACGTGTGTAGAGGGGGCATGGCTGATAGATCCACGTCACAATTTGTCTCCAGTCTCGTTAATTGCGCGGTCGCTGCTATTCAGTTCCAGTCACCATCACCCTTACAAGCCACAGTAACCTCATTAACGTTTCTGACGTCTCCGAAACCACATCAGTCCAACTGTTGTACTGACAGCTTGTTCACTTATTTAACGAATGTGTGCTTGAAGTCGATCTGAAGATCGCAATTGCTTTCTATATGCGTTATTTTCGACGCTGGCAGCATTCGAATGGTGGGATGATTGGTAGACGACCTGCAAGGAACCGGCCGTGGTATCCCGGCATATGTACGTAACATATACACTTCGTACATATTGATTAAATACTTCTTAGTCTATTATATTACAACATTCTGGGGCCACAGGCCATTTGACACTCTATATCTCATTCCTTTTGCTCCCAAATGGAGCACAGGGCATCCGTGAAACGCTTTGTTTCACTTAATTTTCTTAATCCTAAGGCGGTCGGTAGTATTTCTTGGACGGGGGTTCAGCCCGTCAGAAGGCCGCTACCTAAACAGGGCAACACAAACACAGAATAAACGTAGACAGACATCCATGCTTTAGTGGGATTCAAACCCACTATCCTATTGTGTGAGAGATAGGATGGGGTGGTATGGACTGGATTGATCAAGCTCACGTTAAGGACCAGTGGAGGGCTCGTGTAGACACGGCAATGATCCTTTTTTTTTTCCTTGGCACTATAGCCCCAGTGGGCCTAGGCCTACCTCCATGAACTTCTCCGTTCACTTCGGGTTTTCTAGATCTTACACATTCGGTAGGACTCCTTGGGCAAGGCCTCTACCTGTACACAAACTAAACATCCATGCACTGAGTTGGATTGAACCCACGATCCCGGTTTCCAAGCGAGCGAAGACAGTACATGCCGACAATGAACCTTTGGGTTCCATAAAATATTGGGAAGTTCTTGAGTAGCTGCCAATCGGCTCCTTTCTGGAAGTTCAGGATACTGTTTGGGCCTAGAAGATTTCAAAGGAGATGAGCCTACAGGAAGTGTATTATGAGGAGCATCGTAGTCTGTAATCTTCATTAAATATTTTAGGTTCGTGGAGTCAGAGAGGACGACACGGGCCGAGCAAACATCTCATATGGGAGTGATGAGAAATGCACAGAGCATTGCAGTCAGAAAACAAGTTGGAATGAGACACCCAGTAGGAGACTGAGTCGCAAGAGATAAGATAATATTAATTGGATCTTAAAGAAAGAGTGTCGTCTTGGTCGGGGCGTAACTAAATAACAGACTCTTTCTGAACACGATAATAAATATGAGTACTTGAGTTCAATACACGCAAAAGGCGAGAAGTCTGACTACTGCAGCAGACAGGCTATTATATTCTTACGGCCTGCATTTAAACACATTAAATTCTTTGATATTCCATCATTCATAAGTTTTGGTTTTGAATGTTCAGCGTGAGAAACTACAAGATGTCGCAGATTGTTATGTTCTTGTATAGTAAATATATGTGTTTTCGGGCTTCCAATAATTAGTAAATTATATTAAGATCCACTGATTTAACGACGCTATGCCAACTATCAAAACTACATTCAATTCCACTGAAATTGAAGGATCATAGTGCATTTTGGATGCCTAAGGGCTCAGAAGACCGGACACAATGGCCGCGCGGTCTAAGGCATGAACTGTCTTCGTCTGCTAGAATACTGGGATCGTGGGTTCGAATCCCACTCGACGTATAGATGTCTGTCTACGTTAATTCTATGTTTATATTGTTCTGTGTGTATGTAGCGGCCTTGAAACGGGCTGATCCCCCGTCCAAGGAGTCCTATCAACTGTCTAGGATTAAGAAACTGAAGTGAGACAAAGCGTTTCACGGATGGCCTATGCTGAAAGTGGGACAGACAGGAATAAAGATATAAAGAGGGACATAGAAGACGTTCTGTAATATTTCAAGGTAGGTCCATCATTCTGAAATTCGCAGGACAGATTAATAAATACCGCTATGAGATTCAATCGAGACAGGACGAGACTGGGCCTGTATTACAATATAAAAGCCATTGAAAGGAATCGTATGGAGCTGCCACTACGGAAACTTGCTCCTTCAGTCTCAACTAGTATCATGTACAGCATCGAATGATGTATGCTCACCTGCGATATATATCGCGGCTCATTTAAATTTACTGCCCTAAATCTGCGTGCGCAGAAAATCACTGAAAATATAACACAAGTTTTGAACCGGGTACCTTCACAATAAAAGCCACACCCGTCTAACCTTAGCGCAGTCGGTATAGCGGCTAACTAAGGGCTTGGAATTCGAATCCCGGTAGGATCAAGCATTTTCTCTTCTCCACGTCGTCAAGACTGGCTCCTATCCAATGGGTACCGGGGGCTCTTTCTCCTGGGGTAAAACGGCCGGGGTGTAAAGCTAACCACTCACTTCAAGCTAGTGCCGAGGTCAAGAAAATGTGGATCTATACATCCACTATCCCATACGCCGCCTTCATGATGTATTGCTTATTTAGTTAAAGACAGGTAAAATTTTACCTTTTACATTTACCTTTACCCGTCTAACCCTGTGTAATGTCAAACATGTAGGACAAAGCTCAAGAATGGTTTACTGAACATACACAGGGCACGTACACACACAGCGACATCGGTCGTACGACGTCCGTACGGTTCATGTCGCATCAAGTAATAGAATATACACGTAAAGTGTAGCCTTAGCTTTCATACGTGACGACATGCGACATCTACGGTACGACAGTCGGACGAAATTCAACTTTATCTCGCCTTTGATTGATTGGATGCACCCAGTGCAATCTTTCCTGTTGCCTCTGTTTTTCTTTTCGGCGCCGGTGAAAATACCACATAGCAAGTACGCGCTCTCGGTACATCGTTCATTGTTCCTTCATCAAAACTGCCATTCGGTTGCGATAAAGTCGCTCTAATGCGAAAAGGAGGTCGTACGACAGATGTCGCTGTGTGTGTACGTGCCCACACTACAACGCTACCACAAGTTTTATGTAATCTCTTTCTGTCTACAGGTTTAACACATTTACGTCACCCACTTCCTGT